GTATTCTGGCCTTTAATATCACAGTCTGGTATGGTAATCTGATTTTGTCCACTAAAAATAAACTGGCAAAATTGTTAAAACAGCTGGAAAAATTGTAGGTCAACCACAAACCTCACTGGACTTGCTATATGAAATGGCTGTGTATAGGAAAGCTCACAGCCTCTATATTCAGAATATGAATTGATGCCTTCAGGACCACGAGACAGGGTGCCTCGAGCAAGTAAAAAGATATTTAAAGGTTCATTTGTACCAAATGCAGTCAACATACTGAATAAGCAACTGTGGGATTTTGAATGCAGATGTGAATCTCTATTTGATTTTTGCAGTTTTTTATTGTTTTATTGCTCTGTGAGATTTTATATAACTTAGTGTTATGATTTGCTGGTTTATATTGTTCTGGTGATATGTTACTTCGTTTGTTTTTATGAGATGTATTTTGAGTGTGTGTTTGTAGTCTGGGGAGCCAAAGACACAATTTCCATCATGGCAGATAATAAATTGAACTAAATTGGATTGGACTAAACTGAATTAATAAGAAATACAGAGAAAATAGAGAGATATCATACTCTGTGGGAAGACTTACTGTACGGTCACTATATTTTATGCGTTCACACCATTGTTTTAAATCCTTTGTATGTTCTAAAAATCCTAAATGCTGATGCATATTGTACATGTTACCACTGCTAACAAAGGATCTTCCATAAATATATACACCTCTTAAAGAAGCTCACAAAACTGATTCCTTGACATTATGTCATCAGCAGATGGATTGATTACTGAACAGATACAGGCCCAGGGGCCCAAGGGGCCAAAGGTGTTAGGGGTAACTGTGAGGGAAAGTCAGTCAATGGACTACATAATGCCACTAAAACAAGAAAAAAAATAGATGCAAAACAATTACAAAGAGATACAAAACCACTTGAGAGACACAGCATAGCTAGAAAGAGACAACAAGACCCCAAAGACAACACAATGACTACAAAAATATGCAAATTGCTAAAAAGAAACTAAAGCAATTACAAAGAAAAGCAAAACAACAAAAACATACATACAGAATAAGTAAAAAATAGGTGCAAAATGGCCACAAAGCGATTCAAAACAACTATAAAGAGACACAAACTGAGTCTTGGAGAGGTATCAGCCTTTTACATGTCTGTCCCTAGGGCCCACTTGTCTCATGATCTGTCTGTGACAGCAGATAAATACAGCAGATAAATTTGACAGTTATTAAACTGCAGTTATGCTAAACTCACATATCTCATATTATAAAACCATCGGCTTTGCTTTCATGCCACAAACAAACCACAAAATAGTTTCCTGGAACTGAACCAAACATTATGTTTGAAAGCAGCCGTACTCCGTCAGACTTCCGTCCTACCTGAGCAGAGGAGGCACGGCTACTTGGATGGAGTAGGTGGAGCCTGCTGCTCAGCTGAGAGCTGACAGCTGACTGAAGCGGCAGAAAGCACCTGTACTCTCCACCAATGGGAGGGAAGCGTCCCGGGTGTTTGCGCCGTCTATCCACGTGTGTCTGTCTGCAGGTGCTCTCACCATTCCCTGTAGGGA